AATACTTGATCAACTCAGCTAAATACAAATGTTATTTATTATACAGTGTAAACAGTGATAGTTTATGATGAGTGAACCCCCCCTCCCCCCTCCCAAAAGATGAACATTTTCAGGCATTTTCTTCAGACCTCACCTTAATGACTTCCTGAGCAGCCAAGCCTCCTATGAAAGCATTGATGGGAGCCAAATCCCCCTGGGCTGTGTACGACAGGCTTTGTACTGTGACCTCATCTAGCTCTTCCAGTTGTGCGACTTCATTTAGCTCTCTCACTATGGTTAGCAGGTAATCCGCATCGGACTGTAGAAGCACCAACAAGTGAGTGGAAACAGTCCTGTAAATTGCTTTAATGGTTAAACTACAACACCGTAGCTGGATTTACAGACCTGGGACCAGAGACCAGGGAGTCGCTTTTCTTTTTTCACAAAGCTATGGAGTGCTTGGAAAGCCAAGTGCAGGGTCTGATGCCGAGATATTTTTCCATAGTCGTTCATTACCAGCAGATCATGGTCCTGTAAAGCCTCACTCAGTGGTTTCTGCAATTAAAATGAGATTGTTTCATTAACAATGGATTTATTGTTTAAAAGCTAAAGTAGAAACAAAATGCTTGCACCTACAAAATTTAGCAGGACTGGCTGTTTAGCCTCATTCACCACTCCACCCCGTTCATACTCAGAAAAGGCTGAAGTGTCACCAATGCTGAAGGAATACGGGCCTAATGATTGAGATGACAAATGACGAAGGTTTTTATGGTAAATTGAAATTAAAAAAGTTAAAAGTAAATTTAATGAAAAATAATACAAACCCAATGCTGAAAATATAAAACTATAATGACTGCAGATGATAAAGAAGAAAAAGAAAAAATCTCTAATTGCATCAGATTTTTAGAGTAGTGATCGTCATAGAGGTTAAAAATGTCATGAAAAGAAAACTTGAGGAAAGAAATTGCCAACACTGACCCCGGACTTTAATTCCCACGGGGGCCATATTGTTTAGTTCTGTCATGCCTTGCACTTCAGAAAAAATAACTTTATCGCCATCTGAGAGTCCGTGCTTCTGGTCATCTGTGCAGATCACCACTCCAGGATTATCCTAAAATAAAGACATGCTAACTGTCAATTCTTAAGCCTGTTAAGTAAACCTATTTGCAACACTTCTTGGACAATCTGGTTCAAGGATTGTTAGTCATTAAAATGGTCAGAGTTTGAAAGCATATCTTGGATTCACTTAGGGTTCCTCTCATACGATCTGTTATACACATTACACAGAAATAAATGAAGTACCAGGATTTCAAAATGTATGGCTGGATCTGCAATTTAGCTTTAGCACAAAATAAAATGGAAAGTTTTACCTTAGAAATAGATTGTATCATCACTGATGCAGGCATCTCTCCATCCCGGTCCAAGACCTCAAATTTCTCCCCAAAGTCACAGAACAGCTGACTGCAATTGAGAGTTTTCTCTTGATTGTTCCATAATGTTGATTTAGTACATGTTCCAGAGTTTATCTTACCCACAGAGCCCCTTGGTGTCTGCTACAATGAACTTAATTCCATGTGAATGACACAGCTCCCCAAAACGCTTCTGATCCTCCAATGAGGAGTCAGTGAGGACCACTACCTGTAAAAACATAGCACCCCTACTCAGAAAGGTGTTTTTTGCTTGATGTGCACTGTGATTTGGCCTTGATGAATTGAATATTAATTTAATGAAGGGCAGAAAGTTTCTTGGTTCCAGAAATTTAAAAAAAATATTATTTTAACCTTAGTGGACATCAGCACAGTATTGTTGGGAAAAAGATTAAAATACCTGATATTGCAGAAGAAGGTTTTCATCTAGTGGTCCAGTATATTGTTCCACAACCACATGCGGGTTTAAAACTGCCAACTGTTGTACCGAGCATGCAGCCCGGTTCTGACCAAGATGAGACTCCTTCAGGAAAAACTGTTGGGAACAATTAAAATTGAAGACAAAACAATCTCAACCCAAGGTCCACCTGCTGTATTACGTTTGACCATCCATCCATCCATCCATTCTCTTCCACTCATCCCCCCATGACTCTGAATTGTATCAATGAAAGAAAATAAATGAATTTGTTTGAATTTGTTGTTTTGCCTGTGTCAAGGCTCAAGAGTGAAAGAGAAATCTCAAAATGTATCAGGTGTTTCCCAGCGCATGATAAAGAAGGCGGGTGTCCTCAGTCGTGAAAGGAAAAGCAAAACTAAATGTGCACAATCATTTGATCACTTAATATTGAAATATTGAGGATTTATTTAATCATGGAATAATATCAGTGCCACAGTTTCATCCTAAAGTCTGATAACATTTGAAAAGAAAAACAGGTTTGAAAAAACAAAACTCCCATTACCAGGATCACAATCAGCTCGGTTTAGTAACCCTTCATCACACAGGCTTCCTAAAGTTTGTTGTATATTTATGTGTTTATGCAATCAGCTCAAACGCATCCCTCTTGGATACCTGAGATGACAGGTCGCTCCATGTTGTCATTCCTTCGTCCTGGACAGTGACATGTTTAACTCCGGACAGGACCACATTCTTGGCTATTTCTACTCCCAGACCTTTCATTCCTGCTATGAGGACCTTGGCTGAGCCCATTCGGTGCATCGCCTCGTGGCCCAGAACATAACTGTGCAGATTAAAGAACACACAGTGTCATAAGTCATTTAAAACAATTTAAATACCAGCAATCATTCATTTTTTTAGACGATACTTTTTGGCAGGTGTGCACTTTTTGGCACAACATCGCTGGTACTTACAGTTGTCGGGAGTAGAATCCTTCATCGATTTCAGAGATTTCTGACATTTTGTAAAAGCAGTTGAAGGCAAATCTGAGAGAGCTTAGAGAAAGAACTGTCCAGTCAAAACCCGGAACTTAATGTAAACCGGTTGTGACAAAAAGAAAAAAACAAACGTAGCCGTTTTCAGGAAAGTATTTCAGTTTCGATTCAGTCTCTGCAAGGTCCCACTAACAAACGCTTTCTGTAACCACTAGAGGGCGACTCGAAACTTTGTAACCTTTGTCTCCTCTGTAACAGCTTAGTGTTGGGTAACAATAAACGTTTCTCACTTTTTCATGTTTTCTCCTGCGAGTAGGAAAGTGCAGGTGAATTATTTATGATTCTCTGGCTGAATTTCTCTTTAGCTCTAGTTTCTCTGTGCTCACCTTAAATCTGAATATCAAATGTTTGTCTAAAAGCAGGATTTAATACATAAACGTTCAAGTCCTTAATGAAACTCACAGAATCCCCTCATGCATCAATAAAATAATCTATAATCTCAGTCTAGCAGTCAAAGAAAAAAAACCAACTACTGAATGTAGTACTGTATGTGTAGGATGGACCAAAAGTGACTCATTATTATCATCAGACAGAGAAATAAACAGGCTACCAGGGTAACTATGGTGTGACTGGGGAACACACAAGATTAGCAAATAATAATTTTTTTAAAAAGTTGTTAGGATGTCCAAATTTTTGAAGTTATAGATGAAATTCATAGACAACACAACATTTCAGATGGTACAGTTTCACTTCCACTTCCAAAATGGTATAATAATAATAATAATAATAATAATAATAATAATAATAATAATAATAATAATAATAAGTTTGAATACCCTTACTTTAAACAGTCTTCTGGGGATTTAATAATTTAATATCGGGCCAAATCAAAATCTAAACTGCAGTGAGCTCTAAGTCTGTTTGCTTGGCCCATGTCTTATGAGTCAGGTTGTCAGATACACAGATGTAAGCTGAGGAGCAAACATGATGGCCTTCCAGCTATTGTTTTTGGCAGATTGTTTGATTAGTTTCTCACTCTGACTCAGTCCAGCAAGTCCTTGTGGAGTTAAAAAAAAAAAGAAAGAAAGAAAGAAAGAAAGGAAAAAACTTCTTTTCTTTTTTTTGCTCCTGCACTACCTCAGACTTTTTCTATGACATTAGGAGTAATGGTTGCTTGTGGATTTTTATGGTTTTAGGTCTGGAAGTGAAAGCCTGCTGAGTGACACTGCAGCATATGTTTACTTTGAACTTTGGATTCAGTAGTAGATGTTTAACTTCGGAGTATAAATCCACATTATAGCATTTCTGTTGGCACACTGATGACAGTGATGGTCATTTTGGCCTCAACTTTTACAGCCTCCATGTACCATCATCCAACAGAGCAAAGTTGAGGTTTTTCCATGTGTGTTTTATATCACTAATACATTTTTAGGTGATCTGTCAGGAGAATGGAATACATTCTTCCCATAACTTTCTGGCTGCTGAGGAGAAACTGTTCCTCATCCAAAAGCAATGTATTTTTGGCAAATGTCCCTCAGGTGCTGATATAAGCTACAGACTGCTTTCATAAGCCAAGATTTTTTCCACAAAAATTTAAGTCTGACTGGAAATATGTTTCAGGATGAAATATGACAAAGCTCTCTTGGAGAGGAAATTATGCGGATGGTCAAATTTAGCAACTACTTCATACTTCCTCGTTGCAGGCGCGGCTTGGTAGGGCAGAACCCGCTTAGGGAATATCACAGTCCACAGTCAAGCGAGTCAGAATGATGATGGCATTTCCGGTCTTTAACAGTTTAAAAAATTAAACATTGAATCATATTAGAAAACTTGTTTGAACGGGCAGTGTCATTCTCATTTTTACAGCACAAAAACGCCTCGTTTGTTTTGTAATAATAACCAAATGAATATTTTTCCAGACATTTAGATGTACCTTGGCACGATAATGGCAGGATTTAAGGATATTAATTTCCACAGTATTTATTTTTTCAATCAAATTTTGGCTTATAATTTATCCAGATCTCCCGTCGATACAGTGCCATACAACTGCAAAAATGCATATCTCTCTGTAGGTCTGATGACCTGATTTTTTTTTTTAATCGCCCTTTAGACACAAGACCGCTGGCCTGGAATGCTTTTATTGTGAAGGGTTAGTAACTTCCTGTTTTGTTTTTTTTTGTTTTTTTTTTGGCGTGAGATCTTAAAGGAATGGGGGAATTCAGTGCCAGTGTAAACTCATTGATAGAGGTATTCAGTCGCTGTCAGGTGAGTGGAACTTCACTAGCATACGTATCTCTGAGGGATTCAAATTTGTTAAAGAAGTTGTTAAAGATTTCTTAAATTTTATTGGTTCCGGAGAACTTTCAGCTATTGGTCCATGTTAATGATTCCTATCCAAACAGTTCGAGTTAATACAAATGATTCTAACTGTAGTAGTATCATGGTTTTCATTAGAAGTTATGTCATATAGTAATATGAAATTTACAGTAACGTAGTCCTTTATAAGCCTCCATGACCGTTTTGCACTGATAATAACTATTACTTTTGTGTATTTGACACATGTAATGTAGTTGTTACTCTGTATGTATTTTGTGTAGTTTTGGTGGGCTGAACGCTCCCATGGTTTCTCCACATGTTACAACGCGTTGTTTCTTGTCCGCTTTAAATTGTATCGTTATCCTCGCAAATTCTTGTTGGGTTTTACATGCCGTGACTGCGTATATTAGGTAATACTACCTTTTAAAATGAGGCATTTGAAGATAAGGAAATGCTTAATCAAGAGCCTCAAAAAGAAAAAGAAAAAAAGCAGCTGATACTTTCCTCCTTCCTCAGTTCTCCAGCTGTGTCTCAGATTAAGTAAGCTAAAATGTTTACAGTATGAAGTGGAGAATCTCGGCTGAATGTGAGAATCCAGTGGTACAGCTCCCTGTCTGGTAAAGCTCAACATTCCTTCTCTGCTTTTTCTTGCAGAGCTCCCGCTGGTTCTCCAGAATGTTTTCTTTGAGAAAACTGTCTTATAGGTAGCATTTATTCACAGCAGACCATAAAGTGGAAATGGTCAGTTTGACTGCCTTGTTGACAGTATGGATATGGATGCTATCACAAACTGCCTTGGGGCAGCACACATGTCCTTCTACACCTCAGAGTTCCATAGATTTCACTGTAACATATTCCCTCCCCCAGTTCCAAACCCAGAAACCAATACAGAACATTGCAGTGAACCCGGATAATGAACAAGTTTACATTGGATATCAGAATGCGGTAGTGGGAGTCAACAGTTCTATGAATAAAATATGGGAGGTGAAAACTGGACCTATAGGCAGTCCTGATTGTGAAACCTGTCTGGCATGCGATGTAGAAGTTCAACCTGAGGACCCAGTGGATACAGACAACGAGATTCTGCTTTTGGATCCTGCTCTAAATCTAGTTCCATACTTGTACATTTGTGGAAGTACTCGGTATGGGATCTGTTACTTTACTGACATTACCCTTGAAGCTCCTGCACCTCAATGTTTATACACAAAAAAAAGGAACTCTCCAACCTACTGTCGTGACTGTGTGGCCAGCCCATTTGGTACCAAGGCCATGATCGCTGAAGATGGGCAGACATCATACTTCTTTGTTGCAGCCTCTGTCAATGACAGAATAACACAGACGTACCCAAGGAGGTCATTATCAGTGCTGAGGCCACTTTCAACTGAAGATGGCTTTGACATGGTCACAAACGTGACAGTGCTTCCTGGACTACGTGACTCTTACAGCATTAACTACATCTACAGTTTCTCTGCCAAGGATTATGTCTACTTTCTTTCCTTGCAGAGGGAAAATCCCTACAAAAACGATTCAGCTTTTCAGACTCGTCTGGGACGACTGTCTATTTCTAATCCAGAGATGTGGATGTACAGAGAGCTTATTTTGGAGTGTCGGTACGAGCCAAAGCGCAGGAGAAGAAGGACAGGGACTTTCAAGGGTACTGTTTATAATGGATTACAGGCAGCACATTTCGGGCAAGTTGGGAAGGACTTGGCTGATGAGCTGAGGGTAGCTAAGGGAGAAAATGTTTTGTATGGGGTGTTCGCGGAGGTAAACAAGCATGGCCAGCCTCAGAAGAACTCAGCCCTCTGTGCGTTTCCTTTAACTAAAATAAACCAAGAAATCGAGGCTGGTGAGGAGGCCTGCTGTAAGTCAAGTACAGAGCAGCTATCCAGAGGTCTCTGCCACTTCCAGCCATGTGAGAACTGCCCACATGAAGTGAGTAACTCTTTTTTTTTTATGCTCGAGTGTCATCAGAATATCACTATATGCCCATACAGGAAATGGTTTGTCCAGACAAGCATTGTGTTATTAAGTCATTTGTGATGAGAGCAAAGTGGTTTACAGTACAGTATTATTATTTTCTTGAGCAATAAAGGATTGTATATTCAAAGTAAAACTAGTCCATAAATCTTGAAAATTAAAATGATGTTTGCCTGCGGTAAATCTGATGAAGGTGAGTGTGTGTGAGAGAGAGAGAACAGGGAGGGATGGATGAGTCACTGGTGTGACCTGCATGTTGCGACACCATTACTCTGTTCTGTTTCAGTCACTGCTCAGTAAGTTTCAGTCTTTCTCAATGAAAAGGTGTGAACTGTTTGTAGTACAAGGCTTTGGTAAAAAAAACAGTTGCGGTTTCTTTTCATTTTAAAACAAATAACTGAGAGGACACAAACTGCCTCAGGGCAGCACACGTGTCCTTCCAGTCCTAGCAGGTCAGTGGATTTCACTGTGGAATATTTCCTCCCCAACTTCCAAATACACAAACCAATACAGAAGAGAAAGGTACTGGACGGTAAAGGCAGGTTCAGCCTTATAAGAACATGCACACCTCTCTCTTGAAACACCTTGAATGTAGCTATGGTTCCTCACGTCAAAATAAAATAAAGGTGTGGTCTTTCCTTTTATGGCGCTCAGTCTGTGTCCTTTGAGCTCCCACAGGCACATACACCTACGGGAATGTGTGCCAGGAAACACAAGCTATAAATCCTGCTGATAAAAATGTGGAACTTCAAGGGGAGGGTCAGTGTTGGATTGTACTCATCTCTATTTGAGTAGGAAATAGGATGAATATGAAAGAAGTGAGGGGCAAGGAGGAAGAAAATCAGTCAGAAAATATTAGTTAAAAGAGTCATGAAGCTGTCTTTAGAATCCCAGATTTTTACTTATTGAATCTGGTGTGTTCAATACAGTGAACTGCATTTCTATTTAAGCATTAAAGTCTGAGAAGCTCAGATGGTGTAAAAATTGGACATTGAAGTGAGAACTCAAATATGGGCATGCTGGGGCAGGTCAGCTTAATTACCTCACCAGTCTTGCAAATCCTGCTTTTTTTCTGGTTGCTGACCTTTTTTTTAAACCAGTCTAACTCATGTTTTGCACGCCCACCATGCAAATGTTTAGTTTCAGCAGAAGACAGAAACTACTCTGAGAAACAGTCACCAAGTCAACAACGCTGAGGTCACTGCTGTTTTATGACTTTCCACTCACGGCTTGTTACCATGACTGGAGGAAACTACAGCACTTCCTCTATAAATGAATACAATTAAGAATTTTTTTCCATCCCTTTTTCTTGTCACACAAACACGTCTTCATGTACTTATTCTAGAATGAGCCCAGTGCTAATAGAGGCAGATATGCTGAAGATGAAACTCCTTGAGCTGTCCATGTGTAAACATGTTTTTTCTGCTTGTACAGAACTCTGATAGCAGATGCACTGATCAGCCCACTCTGGTGTCAAAGCCATACTACAGAGTCGATCTCTTCAACAGTGAGATGAGAAATGTACTGTTTACTTCAGTTCTGGTGAACACGATTGAGACTCATACGGTGGGCCATTTTGGCACGTCAGATGGGAGGATACTCCAGGTAATAACATGGTGTTGGGCTGGAGAGTACGCTGAAGTTTGAATGCATTATAAAGTACTGAATGTAGATGTTTTTGCTATGATTTCCATGAATCCTCGCGACATTACCTCTCTGTTTCACATGTTTAGGTGATTCTAAGTTCCTATAACCATATTATTTTTGCCAACTATTCACTGGGAGAGACTGCAGTTTCGAGGAACGCAGCTGTGTACTCTGAGGATTCACTTCTCTTTGTGGTTGGAAATAAGGTAACACTCGTAATACCTGCCACAGGTACTGCTTATCTCTTGATGAATTTTCCCTTGTATGTCTTTTATAACACCCTCATCTTACTCTCTCCACGATCAAGATGTTCAGGGTGCCTTCTACAGGACCAGGGTGTGCACATTTTAAGACGTGCCCCATGTGTTTGAACGCTCCGTTTTTCATGAACTGTGGCTGGTGTTCGGGAATCTGCTCAAGGCAGGAGGAGTGTAGCTCACAGTGGAACAAAAAGTCTTGCGGACCCATCATAACAGAGGTAGATCTGTCACTCTGTGTGACTCTGTGATAAGCCATTGCATGGTTAAACAAAAGGAGTCATAAAGTTCCTCCAGTCACACTGATTATACATACACATAATTAGCTACTGATTTATGTTGGTAATTTTATTTTTCCAGTTTTTTCCTAAAATGGTCCCTGCTGGTGGTGTGACTGAAGTGACGCTGTGCGGATCAGAATTTCAGTCTGTTCTGCGGCCGCCCATCATCAGCGGCAAAACCCACATCGTTACTGTGGGCTCGGGGACCGTGTGTGATGTCCTGCCTGAAAAGAGCAATAGTAACAGGTGAGTAGTTCAATCCCACGTGTAGTCCATTTCCTCGTGTTGGGAGTGCTGCTCAATGTGCTGCTCAGACTTAATTAAAAAATGATGGTATTGAGCTCTTTATTGGTTATATAACTGATGTATTATTTCAGACATATAAACTTCTGTTCTTAACATCTCAGTGACATCTTTGGTCAAATTTTTGTGCAAAACAATAATTTGGGGCTGATTGGCTCAGAGGAGGCAGGGAAAAAGATTATTGGACAAGAATAACAATAACAGCGTTGAGACTGACAGCGTAGTGATGTCAAGAACAGAAAAGCAACACTAAGGAAAACAGGCAGATGAGTGATTACAGTTCGTCCTTATTGAATTTAGTTGTCCTCTTAGGTCTCAGAGTACAGGCTTATGTTTTTTTCCTAGAGTTTCCAAAAGTAGAGTAGAAGGTAGAGCCTTGAGCTATTAGGCCTGCTCCTGCTCCTGTGGACTCAGTTCTCGTTTGGTTTCAGGAGGCAGATTAGATATATAAGTTTTCCTGAATGAAACTTTTCATAGCTTTAATTAGGGTTGATCATCGACCATAGTCTTGTATGCTGCTATACGCAAAACAGCTCGGGGAGTTCTCAAAATGCTCTGAGCACTTAACCTTGACGACCCTCTTTTCAGTCGCCACTCGTAAATATGACGCTCTTGCATGTCATTAACTTTTATCTTCTCTCTCACATGATTTGTCTTTTATTCTGTTAGTCGTTTGTCATCCCTTTATGGGAAACATCAGATGGCTCATATTCTCTCATAGAACTAACAGACATGCCATTCCCTGTGTCTCTAATACAGACTGGTGTGCAAAATCAGGGAAGAGACACCAAACCAGGGACTCAACATCACTCTGGAAGTGAATGAGGGAGAGGTGGAGGGCATTTTCTCAGTTGAAGGCACAGCTCAGATTTCTGGCTTGTCATTTGTGGTGAGATCAATTTTTAAATGGCACCACCCTGTTATAAACTCAGTGTTTTCTAATTATCAGAAATAATTCCTGTAATGCATTTTGGAATCACGATGTGATTTACTTTGTGTGTTTCTTATTAGACACCCAGCATAACAGAAATCAAGCCTGATTACGGGCCCTTGTTTGGAGGAACAGTGGTTACATTAACAGGCAGATATCTTAACACAGGAGTAACAAGAAATGTCAAAATTGGAGATAAAAACTGCACCATTCAAAAGTGAGTAACATAGACGCTACAACACATTGGTTTTGCTGTGCATTTAAGCAGGTAGCCTTAGTTATGTATAGTTGGTTATTTGAATTTCTATTGCTTTCAGTGTTTCTGAAGGAAAGGGGACTTTGTCTTCAATCGTCTGCCACACAGAAGCTGCTGAGGCTGTTGGGGAACTACCTGTGAAAGTCATTATTGACAGCCTTCAAGTGAATGACACTAAGATGTTTTCCTACAAGAATAATCCTGTTATAAACTCTGTGTTTCCGAATTGCAGTTTCCAAAGGTATGACACTAAACTGGTCTAACTAATAGGCTTACCACCAAGTTCCTCATCAAAACTAGCAGGTATGCTAATTTATATTGCCTTACAGAGGCTCCAAGCTGGTGATAGAAGGTCAGAATCTTGATGTTGCTAACAAAATTGTGGTTGAGTACACTCTGAAATCTCACTTCAGTGAGCGTCTTCAACGGGTAAGTAAGGTTTTGTAAAACTTTACTGGGATTTTTTTCTAATGCAGTTACATTTTTCAGTTAATTAATTTTAACTTGATTGCAAACAGCATATTATTTTTTTGTTTTACCTCAGGTTTGCAGTGGCACAAGAAATGCCACACACATGGAGTGCTGGGTTCCTGCTTTTCCAGAACAAATTCCAGATACCATTTTTAAAACTGGAGTGCTTTCTATTCACATAGATGGGGAAAATGACGCCTGGAAAAGTAACTTTTCCTACTACCCTAATGCCCAAGTCATTCCCTTTGAAAATGATGACAGTATATTACTTCTAAAACCAGGAGAGGACGAGGTTTCACTGCATGTATGTTCACACACTCATGTGCAGTTTTTCCTGCTCTGTCATTTGTTTGGCTGTTTGTACAAAAACGTCAGGAACAGTAGTTGCATTCTTCACAAGACAACAATTACTACTTGTGTTTTAATTTAAATTAAACCCTTTTTCAATTTGTAACAGCATAAAAAATTGGATGCAGTACAAACATGTATGAAGATCACAATGACCATTGGTGATGCGGTCTGCAAAGCGCAGGTTTTGCAAAATGAGCTGACCTGCAGGATTCCTAAAGGCCTGGTTGTTCCCAGCAACGGGCTGCCTGTTAGGGTAAGAATCATCTGTTTAAGCCATCCTAAATCACTTATGGAGATTCATATTTAAATAAATGTATTTAACAAGAGGGATCATATTTTCCACTGCTGCAGGTGTTTGTGAACCATGACGTTTATGATATGGGTACAGTGCTCTTTGATGACAGCTTCAACAACAATGCGATTGCAGGCATTGTCCTGGGCATCATTGCCGCACTGGTAGTAGGAGCTGCCCTTGCATTAATTGTTATGATTAATTTAAGGAAAAAAAAGAGAGGTGAGAAAGACTTTGCTATTTTGTGATGCATTTCAATAAACTGACATACTTTACTAAGCAATCTTGCAACAAATTTCTCTCTCTATGATTTTTCTTTGTTAACTGATTTTGATTGATTGAATTCTCCCCTCCAGCCACCATAGAGAATCGCTTATCAGCGATGATGTCACATAATCTACACCTGAGCAACAATAATTCTTCTTCTCCAACAGATGACTACAGACAGGGTGAGAGATTCAAGCCATGAACTGATTCAGTTTAATGTGTCAAAGAACAACCTGACTAATAAAGTTATTTAGGAACATTATTATTATTGAGGAACATTATATAAACTTGAGCATAGATAATCTTTTTTTTTTTATCCCAGTCCATTAAATACTTTCATGCTTTTCATTCTTCGCATTTACTCAGATTTTATCAGTTATTTATTTGCCTGTTTATGTTTTTTCTCTAATGCATTACAATAGATCTTTACTATCAAACTTCAGGTTCAGCAGGACTGGCTTTCCAGGGTTTATTGTACAGTGCCAGCTCTGATCATCTATCTGTTCCTTTGATGCCACGAGACAATATCTCAATGGTTAGCCTGAATTCCAATATTCTTGAAGAGGTCAAAGATGTGCTAATCCCACCTGAGATGCTCTCAATTGAGGATAGTCAGATTATTGGCAAAGGTGAACCTCAGTATTGTACAATTGTTATTACTAATTTGCCAATTTAGCACAGAATTCCTATAAGGCAATTTTCTTCTAATATAGGTCACTTTGGGACAGTTTATCATGGATACCTGTTAGACAGCAACAAGAAAGAAATCCACTGTGCTATTAAATCACTGAACAGTAAGTGAATATCAGTTTATTTCATAAAAGAAATTGGTGTTTTGTGAGCTGCTGGCTGGTAGATTAAAGTATTTTATTATATGTGTTTTATTAACAGGGATAACAGATTTCCAGGAAGTAGACCAGTTCCTCAGAGAGGGGATCATTATGAAAGGCTTTAACCACCCTAACATACTGTCACTGTTGGGTATCATGCTGCCCAAAGAAGGGCTCCCCCTGGTGGTTCTGCCATATATGAAGCATGGAGATCTGCGCCATTTCATCCGTTCTAAGAACAGGGTAAATTAAACTGTGGGGACTGTGAAGATGCTCTATTCATGCCATTACAAGTTTTGTCTTTAGATCTCTCTTTTTTTGTTTTTACAAACTCTTTGTCCTTTACAGAATCCAACAGTGAAAGACCTGATTGGGTTTGGTCTTCAGGTTGCCAGGGGAATGGAGTACTTAGCCCAAAAGAAATTTGTTCACAGAGACCTGGCTGCGCGTAACTGCATGTGAGTGTGACTCATGCACTGATTACTGGCCTTGATATGAAAGACTTTGACTCACTACAAGAAAACGTATTTGTTGTTGGCCATAAGGGGAAATAATTCTGCAGTTTTAGCCGTTTTAAATTTGTGAACACATTGTTGTAGTCAGTTGTATATAGCAAAATGAAATTATTTCATGAAAATAATTTGATGTTCATTGCAAAGCTGGTTAATAAATTCATCAGCTTTCAGGCATCTTTTAAAATTATTAGTTATTTTCTGCAATGTTGAAAAAAAGTATTAGATAAAAGTGACAAATGTACATTAACATGATTTTGAAAAAAAAAATCATTTTTATTTTAGATTCTTTTTTCTACATGAAAGATAGTTTAGATCAGAGGTCCCCAGCCTTTTTTGCATCACAGACCAGTTTATGTCCGACAATTTCATGTACCGGCCTTTAAGGTGTTGCAGATGAATACAACAAAATAAAACAAGTACCGATACCAAAAAAAGGAAAATTTATTCATAACACACGGGAAAAATAAAATAAATAATAAAAAACGCTAAAAAGCCCGAAAACCATAAATTTCACAGCCGAACCTTAACTCTCACGGCCCGGTACCAAACGACTCACAGACTGGCCTGGAGGTTGGGACCGCTGGTTTAGATGTTAAACACATAGCTTACTCAACATGTATAAGCTTACACCATTAGATCTCATCATAGAGAACATGGTTGATATTCACTGACACTCGTTGTACACGTGCTAGTCTACATGTTAGAAATGTAAAGTAGAAATATGTTATTTGAACTAGATAGTCCATTCTTAAGATGTTTTGCCTTGACAGGCTGGATGAAAACTTCACAGTAAAGGTTGCTGACTTTGGTATGGCAAGAGACGTCTATGCCAAGGAGTACTACAGCATTCAAGATCACAAAAGGGTGAAGCTCCCTGTAAAGTGGATGGCCATCGAAAGCCTGCAAACACAGAAGTTCACAACCAAGTCTGATGTTGTAAGTGTGCCTAATTAATCAAGCCAATGAAGATCATTTTAAATCAATCAATCACCCAATCAATCAATCAATCAATCAATCAATCAATCAATCAATATACATACAATATATTATTCTTTATCTGTTTCACAGTGGTCATATGGCATCTTACTGTGGGAGCTGTTAACCAGAGGTGCTAGCCCGTATCCAGAGGTGGACCCCTATGACATCACGCAGTACTTGTTGAAGGGACGTCGGCTTCTGCAGCCACAGTATTGCCCAGACACCCTGTAAGAATTAGCACCCTTTCACTATCCCGTAGCATATGGGCATTATTAGATAAGATAACTCTTTATTGTCATTGCACAGTCATACATAGTACAATAGTGCAATGAAATTGGAAAACTGTCCTACGTCGGCATTATGTAACGTTGATGTCTTTAGTGGCCTCAATTCCACCCTGCATACCTCTAAATCGCAGGGATTTAATCCTATGTTACTTTGTATTTGAGAAAAAACAATGCCCGTTATTCAGTAGTGTCTTCACCTGCTTACTCTTTTACTTACTCAGCTTTTCATTCAATAATTTACGCAATTATTCATTCCACAGCTATGTAATCATGCTGGCGTGTTGGGACCCGGAGCCTGAGTGTAGACCTACCTTCCATAGCTTGGCTACCGAAGTGCAGCGCATCCTGTCCAATCTGAAAGGAGAGCACTACATCAGTTTGAAGGTTACCTACGTCAACTTAGACCAGCCAAGGCCTTACCCCTCCCTAGTTGGAAGTGAAGCCACAACCTCAGACTTGGACACAGACTCTAATGGTAGCAGCTGAAGGTGCAATGACACAAAGCTCTTTGGCAGGATCACGGCATCCAGAGTTGGAAAACATACAAGAGAAAAGGACAGCTTATAAAAAATTTTATGTGTATAAACCCGAGCACGCTGAACATTTTGCTACTGATTTATTTGACACTGTAGGCATTATAAACTCTAACTGGAGGGAAAAACCCCACTGGAAGATTCATACTGGTTACTAAATGTTTTTTGTGACAAAATAGAAGCAGCATGCTGACTTATTTTCTATAACACGAGCGTGAATGAGACAAAATGAATGTAAAATAGAGCCTTGTTCTTAGACTTGCAGAACAGGGTTGAGTGGTACGTACATGGTGTTATTCACACATATAGTACGTGTCTCTAAATGTCTCTAAATCAGTACCTTAAACTTTGGGGGCATATGAACAGTGACTTGTGCTCAGGGGTTAACAGTTTTCATATTTGCACCACAATTGTTTTGCCATATGGGCTAACTTAAATTGTTTTATTTAGGTCTGTAGCATGTAGATTTAAAAAGAATACATGTGTGCATCTTACATCACACATGTAAAATAACTCAGTCGACACAAATTTGGAGCCGCTCATACAAAAAAAGCTCTGGGCCCAGAGTTATGAAAGTGAGCTTTTTGTCCTGTGTGGAAACACATCCATGCTTGTAATTATCACTAGAGGGCAACAAATGCCTTATTCTGAAGAAAACTTGAGTTGCTGGTGCAGTGATGTTCTGCACTACAGCAGTCGTCTCCACACAAAGGTGCCGCACAATCGGTACAACTATATTTAACTAAACCTCAGAGAACCAGATTCACAGTTTCACTGAGTGAATGTAACACATTACGGTCTTTTCATTTCAATCAGCAAAATGTAACCTGCAAAGCATTTTGATGAATTTCTGTGTCTTTTGCTTTTAATTAAAATAATCTCCATAGTACATAGGACATTCGAAGGTCATTTATTATATGGGCACTGATTTTAATCTTCTATACTGACGCTGTAATGTGGTTTCAAACTGATAGTTTATTTTCACGGACTAGCTTTCCACCAAGAGCAATGAATTCAGTTCAAAGATAGTTGAGTTTTGTTATTGCTCCATTTATTTTTGTTGAACCAAAGACCGATCGGATCTTTTCAGTAGCTTCCACAGTCAAGCGGGGTTTTATACAAAATGCTTGATTCCATATAATCTTCTCCAAAAAGACTTATTGTGAATAAACAGTATGAAAAAACCTACAGCAGATGGGCAAACAGGAACATTCCAGCTTTTTAAAAAATCAATTTAAAATTTTATTCAGAGCACCGCAGCAAGTACAAAAGTTCTTCATGAAAGTGGATCGTCAAAGCCAAAGATGAAAATGATGCTGAGTGCATTGACACAGGTCTGAGGCAGTGCAGCGCTTGTTCTCTGCCAGGTAGATGAGAGGAAAACACAAACTGTTTGAGTCTGAATAATGTTAGCTCAACCAGAGTGAAAACTGCATGCCTCTACCTAATCTGTGTATCTAGCATTTGTAATACTCTATGAATAATTTATGGATCTAAATAAAGATTTTCTTTTTCCATCCCTTGCCTTTAGGTACTGTAAAGGTGGTAGCAATAATGACAAGCTCTGGTTACACTCAGGTTCAGATTTTGGGGGGAAAAAATCTAATGAGCTGGCCTAAAGACTAAAGAGAATCTGTTTTTTCCCCCCTATGAACATTGTGTAAGATGCCTTTATTTAAGTCATGCTAAAGCATGCATAGGATCTATTTTGTTTGTATGCTACTAATGACCTACAGGAATTTAAAAAATGGTTTTGTTATCAACCTTTTTTATTCAGATCATTTTAAAAATGTATTTTTAGACAGTATGTGATGAGCACGAGCTCATGCAGTAAGCGCTCAAAGCTTCAACTCAATGAACCTAAAGCAGTAGAAAGACACAGCACGTAGCTTAACTGTTCCTCAGACTCAGGGTTAAGCTTTTTTAGACAAGCGCTATAAACCATCAGTCTTTACAAAATATATAGATTTGTGACATAGCATGGATTTTAAATAAAAAGTGAAATCAATTTTGGGAACGAAAAAGTTTTTTTTTACATTGTTTTTCTTATGATATGGAAATCAGAGTGATTTTTTCTTCTCCTGTGACAAAATTTCTCTTTGCGTGTTGATTTCGGCAGATGTGCTGAGCAACTGTCAGGTGTGGCACTACAAAAAGACACTACAAATGTGAAGTATGTTGGAAAAAGTGAAAGTAAATGTGCTCGGCCGACTATGTGTGAATAAACAGATCTCTTAATGGACTTCAGTTGAAGCCACAGTTGACTCATTTGTTGCTTACTGAAACTAAAGAAACTGATGACCGGCACTACCACTAGGACATCTACATAGCTTAAAATGGGTTGCCCTGTGATCTGTTACTGAATTTTGTGTAATTGGTGGCCTTGCAGAAGGATTTTAAATAAAATGCTCCTAATATTTCCGAGATTGATGTTGATGTTCCTCAAACACATAATCCCATAATCCAAATTATGCAACGTGAATGTATTTTCTTTAGAACGTACCCATGTTTGTTTGTTTTTCACACACATACACGCACACACACGAACAAAGCAATCTAATAAATTTCTGACTTACTTTTCAAATCAGATATACTAAACATCAGGGAAACCTCTGTTTCCTGATGTCATAATGCCTTTAAAGTTGAAATGAATGCTGTTTGCAACCAGCAACTCCAAATGTAAATGTAAACGTGGCATTAGTCCATACCAGTTTAAGCCTGAGGACAGAATAATAGCAGACATTGGTATTTTTCCCAACAGGAGCTTCTTGATGCATGCTCAGCCATCCAGGTAAGTAAATGTCAAAAAGTTGTGGATATTATGTTTTGAGTTTCCCCAACCTTATAAACAGTAAATATAGTACATGTAGTACGTATAATACACATTAATAATTAGGAGGAAAAGAAGTTAAATGATGGAGGGGGAATCATTAACGAATATTATTGTATAACTAACAATACAATTTCAAAGCAACCCTCAGCATAAGCACATCATTTCAGCTGGTCTGTTTATTCAGAACCACTAAATACTGAATGTTCCTCCTTCTCTTTGCACACACAGCCACACAAACACCTTCCTATCCAAACCCACAGTGATGGGGAATAGCTCAACTGAACAGAGAGCAGACCCCTAAAGTGTCTGGTCTAAAATTCCTTTTGTTGTCTACAACAGTATATATTTATAAATAATTTAAACTTTTATTTCACACTGCCCTGGTTTTGGAGCAGAGTTGGTTGAAATCTGCAAGTATCATACAGCAGCTGTTGTGTGATCTGTGGCAAACTGGACCAGAGAAGTAACAAACTTTAAGATTTCAGTGGATCTAAACACATAACAAACATAATTTGCACGCTTACTTTGTGTATTCAGTTTCATAGCTAAAATAAAATAATGATAATTTAGTATAAATTAAATAGTTTCATAGATATGCAATGCAAGTTCACTGTAGAATCTTCCAGAATAACTGCACATGAATAGAGACATTTTTGTTTAAAATTAGAAGCTGAAGGAACGGATAAGGTGCCAAATTCTAAATGTTCCACTCTTTGTAATGTCACGGATGCAGTTGCCAGTTTATTTTGGCTGATGATGATGAGCTGAGTGACATGTTCAGCATTTGGTTTTTATGTTGGAGGTATCTGATCAGACACACTCCTCTGAGTTTTTTAATATACAGATAAACAAGAGTGAATTAAAAAGAACTGCATTTGGAGACTGATCTTCAAACTCCAGAGAGGCAACAAACTTCTGCAGAACAAGCTTCCTGCGGTTTGTCTGTGACTGATATAATGGTAATGATACTGTATGGTGATTTAGTGAAGTTGCAAGTGATCTGCATTACATCACTTGGTATAAAAAAGGCCGGGGAAGTGAGAGAAAATAAAAGAAACTTACCTGATTCACAGTTGTTGAGCTACTCCCTGCAGCTGTTTGGGCTGTGCATGCAATTCGCAGTCTGAGGTTTTCATCATTGATCAAGGTCTCCCTGTTTTTCAAGATGTTGCTCAGAAAATAGAAAAAAACTGGGCTGAGAGAGACAGAGAAAGGAAATATGACTCTATAACAAGACTGTGCAAGCTTAATTACTTACTAATAAGTTTGCATAAGGGTCATCAGCTTTCTTCTTGTTTACCTTTGTATACATTCATGTAACATTTAATAAATCAAATTTAAAGTCTTCTGTATGACATAATATTTACTCAATATTTCAAATTACAGCATATTATGCAGTCAAAAGGAATGAATTTCACAGTGCTCTAAAGTGCTTCATTTTTATTTAATTGCAAAATCATACATCATAGGTGATCTGGTATTTTCATGATACTATTGAAATTGTTCCTAAGTAATGGACTAATGTAACTGAGTCCTTTGCATGTTAAAAATCCCTCTTTTATTTTCAGAATATCTTGCATACATGTTGCACGCTTTCGCACATCTGTTCTCTGAACTCAGTCCTCTATCCTTGAGCTTGTGTACCATCAGTAGCTACCTGAATAGCGAGGCAGTCTTCCTCCCTCTCCCTTGCGCTTCTCCATTGTTGCAATGCATTCAGAGGGAGGATGAGGAGTTGGGAGGTCACAGATGGAGAGAAGTGTTCTGTTTGTTCCTGTCTCTGCTCTCTGAGTGAATGTCTCCACAGATGGGATTATATTGAAAAGCAAACACAAATTTGCAGAGCAATGAAAGTGCTTTAGAACCACAAGGCCATGTACACAGTTAACTGTTCTTGTTTTTTTCCCCCATTTGGAGTTTTTCATTAGCCGTCATCAGTGCGCTAATGCATTTTCTGGCTTACAAAACGCACATGTGGATTACAGTATTCATCCACATGCTGAATGTGTTATTATGATAACAAAACAAATCTAATTAAATGTGATTAAATATTGAATGCATTCTAATACCATATCCAGTCATTGCCATCAAAACTCATGCACTCTGATGACTCAGTGGCACGGGTAACCATGAAAATGTATATGCACATAGAAACTCTGAACATCATGCGTACGTTCCTACAGTTTTAACTTCAGTCACACAGATTCATTGTCCCTGACTCCTTTTATCCTCCTTCTATTTCAGTGGATAGGCTCACAAAGTTGTGCCTACTGTGAATTCCTGGTTAGAATTAGCTTCCATAGTGACAGCTAGAAGGTATTTTTTATGTATATGCCAAATATGTTATTATATAACTAAAATAATGGAGAATTCCTTTTAGCTGATAAATACTTTCTTTAATGTGAATGTGTGATAAAATACTGTCAATAAAATAAATTATGTTTGTTTTTATTTTACCATCAAGTTTACCATCATTTAATGGGTTTAAAACGCGATTAATGTGATTCACCTTGCAAACCTGTGTGTGATTTATAGGTATTCATGGGCATGCACTTCTTTCATGCTGGATATGTGCTTTGTGCATGCATTATATCTTATTACTGACTTTATTATTATTGAACAGGCTAACCGTTGATGTACCAACAAAGGGAAAAACACAATGTTGTCCTTTAATGTCCTATTAAAAATATAATAACATAGAGTGAAGGAAACGCGTCATTACCTTAGTACAATGATTTAATAATGTGCATTAGTTGCTCATAATTACAATAAAAACAAGTTCTTATTCGGCATTCTTATTCTGAATGATGTGACCTACTTGGCACTGTGCTGTTCTGTGCTATGCTATGCTTCTCCACACTGAGTTTGGTTATTTATGGATACATCTTTGGCCCATGGTGTTTTCAGGTGACAGAATAAAATCCTGAACTCATGGCATGCTAATGGCTTTCCTTTCTATTTAAACTTAAATATGGAACAATCAGACAGTAATACAACCCATAAGACAAACCTTAAACATCCAGATTGAGCTGAAATAAACTCTTAACACTTCAATCATTGTGACATTACATGACAGTTAGACAAAGTTATTCCTAATTACATTAATGCAATGTGTCTTTTGTTCTCTTTACGGTGTCATAATTAGTTTAATTAGTAACACCTGTGGTGTTATTAACTACTTTTTCAGCCCAGATTGGCTGTTATTAAAAGGGTCTATTGCAAGAAGAATACTGAGTCATTACTGTTGTTCATCAAGGTTGTACAACAGAGAGTATAAACTCCATCAAACCAACCTCCCCAGTTATTAGGGAAAACCTAATACATGATAGACCTCAACCAAATTTCTTACAAACATAGATCAATCTGAGGCTTTCTTTGTGTTTATAAATAAGAAGAAATAAGAAGCTAAGTTAGCCCCTATAGTGTATCCAACACTAAAGGGAACTTCTTACATGTAGTCTCAGTACTTACTCCTGTTTACATCTTTGTTCATCTGCAGGGCAAAGCAATTGATTTTTCCCAGCGGGCCACAATTAGGGCTTAATTGCAACATCTACTCTTACCAGTAACAGTTCATAAAGAGATCAAATTAATATTGAGCAGAACTGTGTTTAGCTTATTGGTGCAATCCTCCACAACAGTCCCAGTTTCTCACATGGCCCCCAGGAATCTTAATTGCTCACACCTGGTCTACTGTATGCTTTGTATATGTATACAGAATTGTTACACAGCTTCTTTTTCACTCTGGTATGGAGCAGCCTGAATTGTTTACATAAACCTGTAAATATTTGGACCATGGCTGGACAGGAAAGATGGGGTAGCAAAATTTAGATTTTAATTTAATTTAATTTAATTTAATTATTAATGGGTTAATACGCGTATTTACATAAATAATGCATATATACAATTCAGAAATATCAATATACATATATTAATAGGCATTTGATTTGATCAGTTTTTCATTTTAATTAAAGTATATGTGAGTGTCTTATCTCAATAACAAATATTCTAAATGGTCATATTTATCTATTCGGCTATAATATTTGCTGTCTTAGTTGCATAAACAAAATATAAAGTATGTATAAACTAGCAAAAATGTTTCATTGAAAAAGTCTGGGATTGGCTGATAACCTGGCTGACCAGTCCCCTACCTTCAAGGCTGTTAACAAGTGTTGGAAGAATTT